GGGGAGGGACCCTAACTAGAGTGAGACTTACAAGGCCAGAGCGGGTGAGAATCTGGCTAGCGCTCAGTACCTCCTCCTCGGACGATTCGTCCGTGTCCTCGTGGTTGGTGAGGTTGAGGCTCGGCGTGCTGCCCGCGTACTGGCACTCCTGCAGAGACGGCGTGTCCCCTTTGTCCATGCTCTCCAGGGAGCGACGACGCACCCCCCAGTTGAAGTTGTCCATGCTCTCCCCCTGCAGGGACAACCAAGACACCAGTGAGACAGAGCAGTGCACACACACACACACACACACACACACACACACACACACACACAAGCAGGGTTTGGGTAACATTTCACAAAACAAAGAAAACAAGACGACAACATTCCACAATCAAAATAATAAATGCATGAGTGGGTGAGATGATTTCCCTCCATGGGATGGTAATGATGCAATGTTCTAAAACTATAAAAGAAAAGGGTTCACAACCACAGGGGGCACAATATCAAATCAAAGAGCACTAAAGAACTTCATTTGGCGACAACACGAAGAGACACCGGGGACACTGCAGAGAACTCCGTCTCTAAAGAGCTCCGTGGCCCACAGACTTACCTGGAACTCCTTGTGGCAAGAGAAGAGAAGGAATACGTTGTTAGTAGACTTAAGACGGTTACAAAACACAGAAATGTAGACACAAGTTGGACAAACAACACATTAAAGTGACAATAGTGATGTTTAGAAGTGAGGTTCTTCTCCATAGTCTGTGTTAGACTCCTAACAGAATGTCTCTCAGTTGAAGTGAAGCTATATTCAGAATGTCTTCAGCTCTTTACCTTGCTGTCAGACAGACCTTTCTGAGGGGAACTCAAGCTGTTATCTATGATCTCTACAAACACACCAGACTCCATTCACTCAAACACTGATTCTACCTCTCAGGACACAGGAGCTGCTGCTCTCCTGCTGCCTCCATCTGTTGCTGAGGTTGTGTTGTTGAGAGACTTTAGTGTTTTAAGAGTTAGTTCAGAATCAAAAGTGTACTTGAATCAGGGTCCCTGCTCTTCAAACCATTCGAGTGTATTTAGAAATTGTGGTCTTTTACAGATGATTTATGCATTTCTAATATGACATAATTATACTGTCCACTATCAGCTCTTTCATATGTCCTTCAATTTATTACCTTTTCATAATTACTGCAGTTATGAGGCTACTTCACCTTGACACACACACACACACACACACACACACACACACACACACACACACACCGTGTGTGTCACTTTCACAGTCATTTCTCACCTCGGCATCCTCCAGCTCCACATCTAAGAAGTCAAAGTCCTTGAAGACACCAAACTGCTGCTCGCTGCCCGTGTCTTCTCCCTGCAGCTCCTCTTCTCTGACCTCCTCCTCCACTGTGGGTATGAGACTGGTCTGCTGGTCTGCAGAGTCCAGATCCTCATTGGATGAGAACACCACCTGCACAGAAAGGAAGTAAAGAGACTGTTTGTTGTCAAAAGGTAAAATACAAGTGCTGTATGTCCATTGAAAAACATTCAAACAAAAATGAAATCAAAATCAACAACAAAAAGGACAATGCAGTAACAACAGCGGTATCTTTAACAGTGATTTTACAGAGACCTTGTCAGAGGCTTTAGAGTAGGAGAGGAGTCTTACAGATGGATTTTTGGGAACGCCAGACTCCGGGCCGCATAAAGACAGGACATTCATCAGCCTCTCTCTGGTTCTTCTCTGTAACAAAAACACATGATCATGATGAGAAAACAGTGTTTTACTATCTATACAACATCCGACACCAGGTCCATAAGAATTACAGAGTGAGAGTCAAGTCTGTTTCACACAAGTACTGCAGCCTGAACTCATCTACACCAGGAGGCAACCTCCGGTTCTGCAGAGTTATGCTGCATTCTCTCTAGTGTCCACCAGGGGGCGACTCCTCTGGTTGTATAGAAGTCTATGAGAAAATGACTCTACTTCTCTCTTGATTTATTACCTCAGTAAACATTGTAAACATGAGTTTATGGTCTCAATCTCTAGTTTCAAGTCTTCTTCAATACAGCATGATGTTCATTTCGGACATTATGGTCCATTCAGAGTCAAACAGATCATCCATTTGCATTTTCTATTGCAGATGTTCTTTCCGCTATATTTGGATGTAATCTTTTTTCTTCCTGTATCGACTTTGTGTTGGATGTCGTGCGTGTGTTGGATGTCGTGTGTGTGTGTTGGATGTCGTGTGTGTGTGTTGGATGTTGTGTGTGTGTTTGAGTAGGTACCTGAGAGAGTTGAGGCCTCTTCCAGCTTACTGGCACCAGACCATTTGAGTTGGAGCCGGACGACGTGGAGGACGTACTCCTCGTTACGGCAATCACCTGCGGCTTTCCATTCCGGCCCGCCGCAGTGCGCTGGTCACCATATTTATGCCCTATGATTGGTGTCTATAGAGTCAAATAACGTGAGTTAACAATAACACAATACAGAGCATATCCTCAAAGTGAATACACTGAAATAAATGCTCTGGAGCGGGAGGACACTGACCTCTGAGATGTCAAAGTGGAAGTCCAGCGTTTTGCCGGGCAGCTCCTTAGAAGAGTTGTTGAATATGCGCGTAAAGGCAATTTCTGGAGAGCCGCACGACTCGGTGCTGTAGGAGCGCTGCACGTCGTCGGGAACGACGAGGCTGGCTGAGCGGGACACCACCAACTTCAGAATGTTCTGAGCCTCCTTCCAATGAGGGCTCTGTGAGAAACCAACAGAGCAATATAATGAGACCATTGTGAGATAGCAGGCTGTGTAGGTGTCTCTAGTCACACTGGACATACTCATGAATGTGATGTATTTTTCCCCTCAGAAGGCCGAAACAAACCCCCGACCCACAGCAGCCACTTAATCTCCGAGGCCATTTGCATTCTGTACCATTTTCTACAATGTATCCCAGTGCACACCAATGCACACGCAGGGGTGATGCTGGCTACACACAAACACAATGGCAAACACTGGCAGTAAGCCGCCACACAATGATTCTGTAAAGACATGTTCCTCCTTTTTTTATTCTCAACTGTGCCGCTATGTATAGACCAGATCCTCCACATACATCAGACTGTGTGAAATAAGAAGATAAGATATACTTTACTGTCCCCAAAGGGGAAATTCTGCCTCAGTGTTAGAGCTGCAACCATTGATGGATTAACTATTAAATCAGCAATATAACAACCGATTATTAAAATTTCTCAAACGTGAATATCTTCTAGATTCTTTCCTACTTTAATATTTGAGTTGTGGACAAAACAAGACATCTGAGGACGTCATCTTGAGCTTTGGGAAACATTTTTCAACATTTTATAGAACAGACAATTAATTGACAATAAAAACAATTCTCCTAATCAGCTTAAATCAATACGTAGCCAACAAGACAGTAGAGTGGTCACCAAAGGAAGTGTAAAATATTACACCAGGCTGCATCCAGTAAAAACACAACTATTAGAGGTGATGATTCTCAAAATCCACGGTTCTGTTCATAACCCAACAAACTAAATAATAAAATGTGTCACGTTGTCGCTGACCAAGACAAGTAGCAGAACAGGTTTTGTTTCTGTGAATGAACATCTGTTAGCGAACACTGCCACCTCCTGGACAAGAGGCCCCAGCATCATCCAGGGAGCTCCGCCTCTTAACGTAATGAGAGTGGTGGTGGTGGGTGAGGGGGTGACCTCAGTTACACAAGTGTTACACCCCAAATCAATTATTATTGAACATATGCACCAAACTGCACCAAAGTGTTGCATGGGTGAAGTTCTCCACTGCAGAGACCCAGGGTTCAATTCCTGGTGCTGCTCATTTCAGAATGTAACAAGTAATGTAATCAATTAATAATAAGAAATACGTGTGTACGAGTAGTGAACCTCCGTTGGTTAGCGTTAGCGGTGCTGCTAACACTGATTGGTTGTTTACAATGAAAAATTATCAGAGATCAGAGACTAGAAACACATGTTCTACGGAATATTGGAGAAGAACCATCGTCAGTAAAACTTTATTTACACTGTGATGGTTAACGTTAAACTGCGTCATTAATCTGAGGTTCACATGCGTGATGAACAGTGAGGGGGATCCGTACAGATCCATAATGGTCCGTTACACCACTAGCATGTACTCAAAAAGTAAATCACTTAACCTACTGAGTCACTGAAGAAATACGTAATAAGAACAACTCACAACAACCAGCGAGTTACTTACTGTTTGATCAAAACTATACAAGAAGTGCGGCGAAAGCTCACCTGAACATATTTGCCGATGATCTTCATGATCTCCAGGTTGAACTGTTTGACGGGGGCTGCCGATAGGTCGATGTGACTCAGCAGGCTGTAGATGATCTGCAACAAGGACTGCTGCATGCTGGGAAGGCCCTTCTCCAGCAACTAAGAGAGAGAGACCGAGACAAGACACATCACTGGTGTGATCCTACCACTGTGTTACTAAACAACAAGGCTGATCGTCATGGTGTTCTACCTCAGCCAGGTACGTGACCAGGTTCAAGGTTATGTCGGCGAAGGCGTCGTGGAGGTAGCGACAGACCACGTTGATCCAGTTGGTGCAGTCGCGGGAGTAGCTGTGTGCGCTGTACAGGCTCATCATGTGGGCCAGGTTGGACAGCGTGGCGGACTTCTCCTCCGCGCACAGCTTGGCGATCTTGTCGGCCGTCTCCTTACAGAACGGGGTCGGGCTGTCAAAGTGCTGGATCAGATGTGGTAGGAGGCACAGGATGTTCAGAGGAAAACCTGCAGTCACATGAAGAGAGGGGACACAACGAGTCACATGAAGAGAGGGGA